ACAAACATCCTGTCGTGTTCACTTACAAACTTTGAGAAAGGAGAACGCATTTTCTCCAGTTGTTCATCGCTAAAATGGGATAGGCAAAATCAATGCGGAAAGTGTCAATTACTGGGTCACTCTGTCACAGAGCAACCTGCTGATAAGTAATGTGTATATTGCTTTTTTTAATTGCTTTTTTTAGAGATAGCGTTCACTTTAACAAATACACGTTGAGACTTAAACAGTTATTGAATACAATGGCCTACATAATAGGTACATTAGCTCTGCATGTGTGTGTTTGTCTTGGCAAAGTCTCCTGCATAGGCCTGATGATGCACAGGCTATAACAAGCATCATCAGATCCTTTCAGAGTTGATTTTCTTTTCTGCAGATTTCACAATTATGTAATCATGTTTAAGGTGACTTTTCACAGAAAATGTTGTTGCCTCTTGTTTTGTTCCCAAACGTCTTTGTGTTGCCCTTTATTTTAGACAAATCTGTGAAATCTGTAATGAAAAGGGTTAGATGAAACCCAGATTTCATTGTTTATAATATTCTACCTCTCTCTTGCAATGCCTCACTCAGGTGTACCTTTATAACCCGCTGCAAACAGTACTATGAAGTTTTAAAGTGACAGTGTGTGTTTTCCCTGGCTATAGGGGGCAGTACATACCTAAATCATTGCAAGAACGTATTATTTTTGTGTTTAAGTAAGACCTTACCAACAGATGGCCGTTAGTAGGGATGAGCGAGTACACCACTATCTGTATCTGTACTCGGAGTGGGCATTGCATAACCTGGACGTGGGTGTGGTTTAACCAGAAATGGGTGTGGTTTAGATCAATATAATATTTTAAGTCTGAAATTGATATGGATTAATCAGAAGCTGCTATGTGTATTGTTTATTTGAAAACTATTTATAGAGCAGCCTCAGAATTGAGATTAAATATTTTTGATCACAATAGTAAAGGAACTATTACAGAACAAGTTTTTCAATAAAATCAGAACATTATTATTTAAGTGCATGAATTAATACATCTGAACTCATGCAGTAGGAACTAGGAAATATGAAATGCTAGAACCAGACACAACTTTATATATTTTTTATTTTAATTTGATTTAAATGATTTTTTCCTTAACGTTCTTGGCATTTTCCCACACAAAGTTAAACAAAACAATGTTGATTAAGGTGTGTGTGTGAGAGAGAGATAGAGAGAGAGAGAGGGACGGAGTTAAAAATATTTAAAAAAAAACGACTGGAGTGGAGGCAGTGACTGAGGCAGCACGTTAGCTCTGCCTTGTCAAATGCACCACGTAAGTTACGAAAAAAGTAACTTTAAATATTCAACCGAAAAAGAGGCAAGTTGAAGAAAACCTAGGGAGTTCTGAAGAAATGCGAGCAACAGTGAAGCAATCACAGAGAGATCTATTACTGTCTGTGTGTGTGTGCGTGGATGAGCCGCGGACAGACTGAGCTCCCGTCCGGCTGCAGAGTTTTCTGTGTAGGGAGGGGCGGGCCCTCTATGTGACTGGCCAATCATAGAGAGTGAAGACAGTCAGTTACCCAATGAGGATTTTCCTTCAGCACGATTACAGATATTTACAAGTTTTACTCGTTTCATGCTCGTATTCACCAAAAATACTTTATCCATACCAGATACTCGTCTGAAACGAGTACCCGGCTCATCCCTAGCTGTTAGGGTCAAAAATCCTTGGGAGCGCAACCTCCAGCAAAATAACAAGAACATCAGAACATTTTATCACTGGCAATGAATGAAGAGGTAAATGGGTAAAACAACATTGTTTATTACTAGTGAACATTGTGTAACTATTTGTTACAAATCAGTAAATGCATTTTGTCCTCACGTGCTTCCGTAGAAGGAAACATGGCATCCAATATGGCATCGCCCAGAAACGTACACCCGCTCCCATGTATTTTAAACCCAATTTTTATGGTTATATGTTATGAAACTGCCAATATTTTTCAACAACTGGGTGTCTTTTAATTCATTTACGACAACATTTTGATGGATATTTCCAGAGATTCATGGTAAAAACTACACACTCTCTCTTTAAACAGTCTCTTGTTTCTTTAACCCTCCCACTGTCTTAATAGGTGTGACCCTGTGAGGAAAGTTGACCATTGAGCAGGGTCAGGGCTGGACTGGGACAAAAATTCAGCCCGGGCATTTTGACTGGAGACCGGCCCATCACCTGTTTTTTTTGGAAAAGACATTAAGCCTTACGCTGTTTCTGACACACACCAACGTACACTTTCTTATTGGTAGTATTTATGTATCAATCTAATAAACGTAAACCTACACCATCCTTCCTATCCTGGTATTCTAAAAAGTAGGGTTGGGGGTAACTGATTATTTTTAAAATGATTATTCTGACGATTATTTTATCGAATAGTCGACTATTCTAATGACTATTTAGATGATTAATCTAGCGATTACTTTTCTATTGCACAATTAATAAAAGCCAAAAAATTCTCAAATAAATTCCTCCAAAAAATTGATAAGTTGTTACTGTAAGAGAATAAACACTACAGGCCTTCCATTTTGTATAACACTGCTTTTATTGTGTTGCGGTTGTTTATGTTCTGGTGACGTGTAGAACTTGGGAGTGCAGGCTGCTGCCTGAGAGGTGGTTGGAGACGGAGTGTCTCCATGCTGCTTTGTTTTGGTCACTTATGTGCATGAGGCAAGTGGTGTTACGACCCTTCCTGGGGAGTCACGTGTTTCTCCTATTTTAACTGTAAATCCTTCTAGCTGTTATATTTATAACAAGAAACAGATATTCGGACAGAATATTTTCACGTTTATTCGAATATGATTGTGGAACACACCCAGCATCATAATAAATGAAGTAATATTTATGCCAATTTAAGCCCTTATGGGTGACCAGGACTCTGTGTTTATGAATGTGGAAGACACCCAGCATCCTGTGATGGCACTAATAACATCAAGAGATAATAAATAAGGTAATATTTAGGTCAATTTAACCCTTTACACGTGACCAGGACTCTGTGATCAATTTTTGGCAAGGGAAATGATCATTTGTTGCCATTTTTGAGGTGTTTATGAATGTGAAAGACACCCGGCATCCTGTGATGGCACTAATAACATCAAGAGATAATAAATAAAGTAATATTTAGGTAAATGTAACCCTTTACAGGTGACCAGGACACTGTAATCAATTTTTGGCAAGGGAAATTATCTTCTTCTTTTTTCTTTTTTTTTTTTGCCATTTTTGGGGTGTTTTTGATGACACAATAGGCAGTATGAGTACAGTAACGTCAACAGATAATACATAAAACCCTTATTTGGTCAATTTTAGCCTCCATGAAAATATTAGCGATTCAATCACTTTTTGACAAGTAAAATGCCATTTTATTTGTCTACAATTAAATCATCAATAAAGAATTTAAAGATATTTTGAGGCGTTTCTTATAGGTAAACGGGAGGGTGTAGTCTATTTGGCAAGTGACAATCTTGATTTTATGTGCTGAAGTGCTTTTATCTTGTTACTTTTAAATAGAGCAACGTAATGAATAGCAACCTACACAGTGTCATTGTAAAGCCAAAGCTTGATCATTTTAAATACTTTTTTTCAAGTAAAAATGTGCCCCAAACTAGTTAACTGTGGCTCCATGTCAAGTGGACTAAAGAAAGGAAGGGGAAAAAATTAAATCGCTGGAGAATTGTTTATTTCCATTTATACGTTTACATTCAATACAGGGTGCCTATTTACATTGTTTATTTATTTTTTTAGTATCAAGGCTGTAACATAAAGAAAGCCAGTTCTTACCACAAAGTTTGTGGCACAAACCATCTTTCAATCGCAAATATTGCAAAAAGGATTAATATATCCTCATTGTGAACGTTTAAGACAAATAGCAACACTTAAAACAACTTCCGAACTGGAAAAACTAATGTGGCAAGGTGCAGAAACGAGTGCCCGGACGGGATTCGATCCCCAGACTCCCTGGTGAGAGTCATACGCTCTAACCAGTCAGCCAAAGGGGCATCTTCTTGGCCAAGTAGCCAGGGCGCATGATCTATCGGGACATTGTGGATGCTCACACTGCCACATCTTCCTCCCTCTTTCCACAAGCACGTCCTTGTGCTCCTGCGCAGGGTGCCACAAACACTGCCACACTAATATCCGCGATAAACATCTGTTTAAGTACCGGAAGAGGTTATCTTTGCTTTCCGAATGTCCATATTGCTAGATATGCTGAGTTTTAGGGCGAAATCCTGGGGAATTTTGTCTAGAAATGCAATTACCTAACCGTGCGCGATCCCGTGGTGCCTAATCATTTTTTGGCAGCGAGTCAATTTATGCACAACACCGGCTCGGGTTTCTCCTCCTCCTCCCACTTTTCTTCTCCAACCTGTCGCTGGGCTGAGGCTCCATCACTTCCTAAATTGATTTTACTTGAACCTTCACTACCAAACAACTGTGAGATTTTAACACATGTGCCAGCATCAGCCTGAAGGGCCAGTTTCTTTTTTAGTCGAATTTTCTCCGCTTCTCCTTTCCGTTTTTTGTTCTCCATTTTGTTAAGCTCGTCTGTCTGTTTACTGAGATTCACAAACAACTGGCGGGTGCATCAGACCTCTGGCTATTGGTCCAGCCCAGAGTGTATTATTACCAATTGGCCAATCCACCAACTTTTACGAGGCGTCGCGTGGGGCGGCGCGGGCAAGTTGTCTGCAACAACTAGAGGCCAGGAAAAAAAAAAAAAAAAAAAACAGACACCGGCCCATAAAAGATGAAAGGGTCGGCCCAGCGGGCAGTTGCCCGCTATGCCCTATGGTCAGTCCAGCACTGAGCAGGGTTGATGGTTTATTCCTTGGGTCCATGTGGCAAGGGTGAGGAGTGAGCACCACCTAACCCCTGCCACGTGGACCTCAAGGGATAAACCATCAATCCTGCTAAATGGTCAACTTTCCTTGCGGGGACAGTTGGAGGGTTGATGTTGACTTATTAACACAACTTTACATATCGAAATGTATACTTATATCAGCAAAGACATAACCAGGTAAATTCTTCAGACACTTTGTACCAATTGTACAGGCCTCATTTTTGCCCTGTGGAGGGCTGTCAGAGTCCAAGCCCCCAGGCCGGGCTCTCCCAGCTGACAGGCTTCCGTCTTGGACCACATTACCCACCATGCCCCTCGCAGGGATTCCCTCCACGTTGCACCTGCGTCAATCCGTGTCTATATATGGAAGACGCCACACCGGCTCTTCACTCAGTCATCGTTCCACCGTGATCCATGATCAGAGTATTCTGAAGCTAATACAGCTGAACCTCCATCTTTCTCACTCAGACCTCATCCAACCGTCAGCCTTTCCAGCACCGCTTTCAGCCAGCAGTCTAAATAAAGCTCTTACTCCCGAACCCAGTCTTCGAGTCTGACAAGGGCACGTATGGGGTATGAGGAGGTTGCTTTTATGGAATGAGTAGGAATATTTAAACGGTTGTCTAAATGTGCGGGACGTAATAGTCAAGTAACACCAACATGTGATTGCCGGGAAAATTTTATTTTTTTCACAAGGAAGAAACATTTTAATGAAGCAAACAGCTTTACCTGACATTGGTCATAATATTTTGGCTGATTAGTGCCCGTTTTTTGTTTGTAACACCAAAAACATTTGAGGGAGAAAATAACTGAGTTGGTTAACTCAACGGTATACTTAATTTTCCAGTCATTTGATCATGGCTTTGCTATTTACTGTCTACTGTATTGAAGGTAAATAGTAATTATGCAAATTATTAACTCTGCATAATTGTTGATATATTTTTTCTGCCAACTGCTGCATATTAAAATCAATGTAAATGTGATTAACTGCTAACATTAGCAGTAACTGTATTATTATTTGGTTTTAACTTGGTGAATGACAGATTTTTGTCCCTTTATGCAATTGAGATTTTTGTTTAGTTTTGTTTAAATTAAAAGGGTTTCAAATTATGTGGTGGCAGCTTGTCAATAGGGGGCGCTAGGCCACCAGTCTCACAGGAAGAAGAACATAGGAATCACAAAATATATTAAAGAAAACATGAAAATTAAACTAAATGAACTATATATCATACAGACTTTAAGTGCCGTGTGTAATCTGCATTTAAGTGTAGTTTTAAATCATCTTGTGACATATTTCCTGTTTATTTTTTCTTTAAGGTTAAGACAATCTTTACAGTGGTTCCCAAACTTATTTAGCTGCGTACCCACTTCTAAGTCCCGACCATGTCGACACCCCCCCCACCCCCCACACCATATACGTATATGTGTATATATGTGTATGTATATATATATATATATATATATATATATATATATATATATATATATATATATATATATATATATATATATATATACACATATGGTAGATCTGCTAAGGCTACAGTGGAGTGGGCTAGACTGACCTGCAGAGCAAAATCGTTTTGCTACTTTTACGGTCTTGGTCTAGATTTCTGTGCTATGTTAATGAAGCTTTAAGTGTTGATTGGAAAATTAATTCAGCATTTTGCAGTTTCCTAAGCAAGAAATCTTTTGCATCATTCATTTTGTAAAGGATTTCTATAAAAATGTGCTTCCAAATGGGACACTGCAGATGCTTTTCAAAAATGCAACATGCACATTGATATACTAAAGCACCATTTATATGGTTACACAAAATTTCATACAATTCTCCATTTTTTATTTTCTCTCAGCCAACATAGCTTGTGGGTACTTTGTTACTTTCAAGGTTAGTCCACTAAATCCTGTGCATGGTTACTTGTGTTTTTTACTCTAAAAACAAAATACCAATTAGTGACATCCATAATTTGAGCCATTTTGTCAAATACTAATTACCTAAAACATTTAGTGCTGGATTGTGAGATACATCTTCAGCCTCTTAACTCCGAATCCTAATTTTTTTTATATGTGTTTATGCAGCTCTAATGCCTCTGAACTGCAAGATTCGCTCATGCAACACCGGGGATTCCGTCCAGAAGCCTCCAGGCTTCCATCACTTGCCGAGCATACGAGGAGGCAAACGCAGTGAGTTTTGCAACAGATGATCAACTTTTTCATATTATTTGCCCTTCACAAAAGGCTTGGGGATGACATTTCTTTTTGGGGGGTTATGATTTGTATAGTGTGAATCACATTGTAAACACTGCAAAAATTTATTTGTGAAGCCTGGAATTAACCATATACAAAATGGTAGAGTACATTTTTATATTTACATTTTATTGAGGATTGGGCCAAACTTAAAAAATAAAACACAAATAAAATAAATACCAAAAGTGTTATAATTTGACCAAATAATCACAAAAATGTGACCTTGCAGGTTGCTTGTATACATTTTAGTTTGCACGGCCATCCATCTTCTTCCTCTCTACTTGATTGCTGATTAGCTCCACCTGTATCTGACTCTACTTAAACACCCTGCATCCTCTGTTCCAGTGCCAGATTGTTTGTCGTTCAAGCTGCTTCAGACCTTTCTTGCGTCTCCTCAAAATAGAGAAATGATAAAATCACCCAGCATTAAATCTTTCAAACTCTAAATTGGTTCAAAGGGGGGGACGTTCTTCAAAACAGCTGAACTGTAGCACCAACAAACTAGTTAGTTTGAGCATCTGTAGGACTTAATTTGTGCAACTAAGGTAGCAAAAAAAAAAAAATATATATACAGGTGCATTGTGGTCTTTACAAATTAATATTTATTTGGGTTTGAAAACTTTGGCCATCTCTATACACTGCTGACAACAGCAAAAACTAATATTGTAATTTGGTGCTTTAAAAATAAAGTTGAATTGAATATTTAAGCACATGAATGAATACATATGAACTCATGCAGTAGGAAATATGAACTACTAGAACAAAATGCATTTTTTTTTAATTTTATGATAAACAGATTTTTCCCCCCTCTAATGTTCTGGGCATTTTCTTCCCACACAGTTAAACTAAAGTGTGTGTGTGTGTGTCCGTCCAGTCGGGTCCTGGTTCCACTCGCCGTCCCTGTTAGACAGGAGCACCTCATCACATTAAATCACACCAGAGCTTGGCCCTATAGGCGCTTATTAGCAGAGGTGTGAACAAGTTCCTGCTTTCCTAGTCACAAGTCTTTCCAGTCAGGTCAAAGACAACAAATTCCAAGTCGTAAACTTTGAATTTTCAAGTCATCTGTCCAACTTGTATTTAATGACGATGATAATAAATAAATTCCAGAAATAAAGCTTCTTAAAGCTTAATTTATTTGCTCAAACAAGCAGAAAGTGCAACTGAAATTGATTTTTAAACAAAGTGCTTCTGCATTTAGCAGTTCAAAATCAAACCTGGCTTTATTAGCACATAGAATGATATATGATTTTTGTTCACGTTGTGCCACTTTTGTGCAAAAATATCAAATATGCTCAAGTCAACAGATGCAAGTCGATTCAAGCCACAAGTCATTGGCATCAAAGCCAAGTTGTAAGTCTTTATAGATTTTATCACGTCAAGTCAGAAGTCATGTGACTCGAGTCCACACCCCTGCTTTTTAGTGCATCTACATTCTAAAAATTTTCATAAATAAACACAACTTAGATATGTGGCTCATGGAGCGCTGTTTGTGTTTCTGTGGGACAGCAGCTGTGGACCATCTGCTGGTTCTATTTCGTCTAGTCTTAGCCCTTAAGCGAGCTGCTATTGGAAGGATGATCTCCGCATCAGCCAATCATGAAGAGCTAAAATGTACGCCCACCAATAGTGGGCCCCCTCGTGGTATATAACCGCAGTGACCCCACTGCTCACCTCCTTTTTCTCTTCATGCCAAGCTTGAGAGCTTTATTAAAGAGAAAATATTATCCTAAAGAGCAAAATTATCCGAAGACAACTTACCAGCCATGTCCAGCGACGCCAGACCCTGCCCGACCTGCCAGACGGGCTCCATTTCCAGCGGCGACCTGCACGCTAAGTGTGAGGTCTGTCTCGGGGCTCACCACGCTGGCCTGGCCTTGACCCCGCAGGTCTCGTGCCAGTTTGTGCCGCTCTGCCCGTGGCAGAAAAGATTCGCCGGGTCGAGTACTTCACTCCCGTCGCCAACGACGAATTTCCGGTGGCTGACTCGTACCCGCTGGACAAGGCTTTGGATTTCTTCGACGCCGGTCAGGAGCCGGCTGGCTTCAACCGGCTGGATGACGTCACCGACAGCGAGAACTACGATGAGGCGGAATCCCTCCTGGACATAACGGAGGTCGACGAGCTTCGCTCAGTGGGTCCTTCTGCCCCACTGGCTTCTCGCTCCTCCCTGCCAACAGTAAGAGCACTGCTCCAGGAGCTGCCCGCCATCATTTCTGCGGCAGCAGCCTGCAAGGGGCTAGCTGTGCCAGAACCGGCCCCGCCTGAAGCGGATGATTTGGCGGGAATTTTCGGGGCAACTCAGACACGCTGTCCAGACCCTATCTGGCCGCGCTTCCCTGCTGCTATGAGCTGCTGGTCTGCCGCCTTCTCCGAGCCTGCCAAGCTCAAGGCGCCAGTCTCCACGTATGCGCCCATCACCAAGGTCGAGGGGTTTTCCGACCAAGGCTGGCCGTCCGTTCCACCGCTAGAGCTGGACTTGGCCTCGCTGTTTGGCGCCAAGAACCACCTCGCTGGCCCGCGAGCTGTTCCCACTTCAAAACATGACCAGCTGCTGACGCGGCTCACCGACCGCGCACATCAGTGTGCCTTTCAGACCGGCGCTGCAGGGAATAACATCGCCCTTCTTGCCTTCGGCGTCTCAAAGATGATGGAGGAGCTGGAAGCTCCCGAGGAGTCGAAAACCGTCATTACTAAGACTGCTGATGCTATCCTCAATCTGTGTGCTGCTGTGCTCACTGGTTCTGCTCCCGTCGCTGCCTGGCAGACCCTCATCCAGCGAGCTATCTGGCTGAAGGCCCTGCCCTCCATTCCAGAACATCTGCAAAGGGAGATGCTAGACGGCCCCATCACCACCGATGTTCTGTTTGATCCCCATCTTAGAGGCGTCATTGAGCGGGCTCAGAAGACGGCCGAACTATCGGTTACGGTGCGAGACCTGGTCCACCCTCGGTCAGCCTCGCACTCCGGCCGTTCAGCCAGAGGATGGGATGAACGGCGCGGAAGCTTCAGACGTCCAGCTGCACCGCCCGCTCCACGGAGCTGGCCTCCCGCTTTGGCTCCACATCAGTGGGACTGGCGAGATGGAGGACAACGGTTCCGGCGGGGCCAGCAGACGCAGTCTTGGCAGTCCCAAGTGCAGGAGCCTCGCCGAAAGCAGCCACAGAAGTGACTCTTTGGGGGGAATGTGTGTGATACTGTTGTTGGTTTTGAAATAAAACCCAAAGAACGTCACTCAAAGAGCACAATCCTACAGTCCTCCGCAGAATCCTCTGCCGAGTTCTCACACATGTTGCCCACACCAAGCACTGCTGCACGCACACATGTTCCTGCAGGTACAGGCAGTCATAATACACGGCCAGCCGTAAGGGTGCGCTCCATTTGCGCTCCGGCCCCAGCATCCGGCCAGGCCCAACTGTTCCCGCTCTCCCCACACCGTTGGGTGGGGCGGGATGTCAGGTCGCTGTTTCGACCACGCGCGGCGGCACAGTGCGCGGCTCCATCCGCTGGCACTCTGTCGCCCCCGTGCACAGGCCCGGCTCCCACTCGTCCTTCACTATCGGACTCCACGCTCCACAGTGTGGACCAGCCTGTTCCAGCTGTTTCGCACTCGCCCTTTCGAGCGCAGCCCTCCATGGGTCGCCCCCAGTTCTCTGGTACGGGTGACGGCGGTAAGGGCGCATGCACAACCCTCGGACGTTGTTCACGTGACCGCGCACACGCGTCCACTGTCGGAACGCGTGCACGAGTGGCGCCGCCTTTGTATCATGAGCAAATGGATTTCAGACACCATTCATTGCGGTCACACACTTCATTTTCAGGCCACTCCACCTCCCTTCAACGGGATCGTGGAGACGACGTTCACATCGCAAGTACAGTCTCAGGCCCTAGAGCTGGAGCTGCGGGAACTTCTGTCCAAGGACGCTATTTCCCGAGTCCCTCGCGGACAAGAACTCTCGGGCTTCTACTCCCGCTACTTCGTAGTACCGAAGAAGTCGGGAGGAATGAGGCAGATTCTCGACCTGTCCCTGTTCAACTGCTCCATAGCAGTAATGCATTTCCACATGTTAACGATGAGACAAGTCCTGGAATACGTGCGCCCCGGGGATTGGTTCATGTCAATCGACCTGAAAGACGCATACTTCCACTTACCAGTAGTTCCAAACCACCGGAAGTTTCTGCGTTTTTTGTTCAAGGGAGTTCAATATCAGTTCAATCGCCTCCCTTTCGGCTACTCGCTAGTCCCGCGCACCTTCTCCAAATGTCTGGAGACCGTGCTGCAGCCACTGCGCACGAAGGGAATGAGGGTCTTATTTTACCTGGACGATCTTCTCCTGTGCGCTCGGTCCAAGGACGAGGTGTCACAGCAAACCAGGAGGTTGACAGAGCATCTGTCAACCCTAGGGTTTTCTATAAACTGGGAGAAGAGCTCCATCCTTCCGTCCCAGTCGATTGTGTATCTCGGGGTGGAGCTGAACGCCTCCCTAATGAGAGCACGTTTATCGCCTGCAAGAGCGGCAGATCTCTCCACGGTGATCTCCCGTGTACAACCCCGCAAGATCGTGAGAGCCCTGTTAGTCATGAAACTCCTGGGCATGATGTCCGCAGCCCATTCGGTGGTACCGCTAGGTTTGCTGCGCACGAGGCGCTTGCAACGCTGGTTCATCCGCCTCCGGGTACACCCGATACGTCAGAGACGTATGTTGAGGATTCCCCCTTCAGTGGGCGGGGACCTTGCTCACTGGGGGAACCCCTGCATCCTCTCACGCGGGGTTCCCATCGGACGTCCTGCGTCACACGTATCTGTGTTTACGGATGCGTCACTGTCGGGGTGGGGGGGCACGTGCTTTTCCCATACAGTGGCAGATCGCTGGCCCTCCCACACGCACGAGCACATACATGTGTTGGAGCTTATGACAGTGAGGAATGTGATCAGACACTTTGCTGCCCTTCTCGAGGGCCGTCATGTCGAAGTTCACACAGACAACCAGGTGGCGGTAGCCTACATAAATCGCCAAGGGGGAGTCCGATCCCTCCCACTGTTGTGTGTCGCCACAGATTTACTGTGTTGGACACATGTCCATCTGCTGTCCATCAGAGCCATCTACATTCCGGGGGTACTGAATGTAGCGGCAGACATTCTGTCGAGAGGGGGACCCCGCGACTCCGACTGGCGTCTGCATCCCGCACTGATATCACAGATCTGGATCAGGTTCGGGGAACCGTCTGTGGATCTGTTCGCGGCTCGCAAAAACGCTCAGTGTCGCCTGTGGTTTTCCCTGAGTCCCTGGGACGGACCCCCGCTCGGGGCGGACGCCTTCTCACTCCAGCCCTGGCCTCGAATGCTCCTTTATGCGTTTCCACCAGTCCCTCTGATTCCCCATCTCCTGGACCGAATTCGGTCGGAACAGCTCTCTGTGATTCTGGTGGCTCCCAGACGCTTGTCCGCGTCATGGTTTCCGGACCTGCAAGCGCTAGTGTCCGGCTCCCCGTGGAGGCTCCCGTGGAGGGCGGATGCCCTTCTCCAGGCGGATGGGATAATCGAACATCCTCCAGAAATAGGCCAGCGGCTGTGGGTTTGGCCGCTGAGCGGTCACACTTAGAGGCTTCTGGGCTGCCGCATGATGTGGTCGCCACGATTCAGAGTGCGCGGGCGCCTTCTACCTTTTTCGTCTTACGCTGCTAAATGGGCAGCTTTCCAGAAATGGTGCACAGAGCGAAATGTTCAAGCGCTCTCCTGCCAGCTGGCAGATGTCCTATCGTTTCTGCAGATACTGACTGACAGGGGCCTCGCATTCAGCACTGTTAAGACATATGCTGCAGCTATCTCATCCTGTCATCAGGGTTTTGGAGATAGATCTGTTTTCAATCATACGCTCACAAAACGTTTTCTAAAAGGTGTCAGGAGGAACAGACCTGTGTCCCGCCCGCTTTTTCCCCAATGGGATCTAACGGTGGTTCTGCACGGCTTATCTGGAGCTCCATTTGAACCCTTGGACCAGGTCTCACTCAAGTTCCTGTCGCTTAAAACTGCATTGCTGCTGGCGCTAGCATCAGTTAAGAGAGTGAGTGACCTGACCGCCCTCTCAGTGGCTCCCGCATGCCTCAGGATCCGGGAGGATGGCGGGTCTGCTGTTTTATGCCCCAACCCAGCCTTTGTGCCCAAAAGCATTAATGCTTCCTTCAAATCCAGGTCAATTTCATTGGCTGGACTTTTTCCTCCTCCCCATAATTCTGAGGAGGAAGCGGCTTCGCACCTTCTCTGCCCGGTGTGCGTGCTTGCACGATATGTGTCACACACTTCAGGGATTCGTCGCTCACAAAACCTGTTTGTGCACTACAGGGAGTCTTCCCTTGGTCAGGCGCTGTCGGCCCAGCGTCTTTCACACTGGCTGTGTGACGCCATTTCCCTCGCTTACACATCATCAGGGCAGGATCCCCCTGAGGCACTCAGGGCTCACTCAGCCAGAGGGATTTCCTCCTCTATGGCGCTCCTCAGTGGTGTGTCAATGGAAGACATTTGTCAGGCTGCTTCATGGGCTTCACCCTGTTCCTTTACTCGTTATTATTTATGAGATGTGTCTTCAGGTTCCATCACCCGTTCAGTGCTTGGACCCCAGCAGGCTAAATGAATGCTTATGGCACCTCATTGGCCTTGCTGAGATGGATTTCATCCTCTTGTGGATTATGTTTTTTAGTGGGGGCCCCTCTTTTATCGTGGCTGCCTCAGTCTTTAAGCCTGGTCTGAGGCTGAACGTCCCCCACTAGAGGAGATTTGATTGGGTGTGTCCATTGGTTGTGTTAACCAGTGGGGCGTAAACCCATCCAGCTGCGCTTTATTCCAATAGCAGCTCGGTTAAGGGCTAAGACTAGACGAAATAGAACGTTGGTTACGTATTGTAACCCCAGATTCTATGAGTCTAGCCGCAGCCCTTAAGCCACTGGCCCCACTGGTTATGATGGGAATAAGAGCCATTGGAGGTGAGCAGTGGGGTCACTGCGGTTATATACCACGAGGGGGCCCTCTATTGGTGGGCGTACATTTTAGCTCTTCATGATTGGCTGATGCGGAGATCATCCTTCCAATAGCAGCTCGCTTAAGGGCTGCGACTAGACTCATAGAATCTGGGGTTACAATACGTAACCAACGTTTTGTGTGTGAGTAGAGAGGGGCAGGTGCTCTGTGTTACTGGCCAGTCACAGAGCGTAAAGACGGTCAGTTACCCAATGAGGATTTTCCTCAAGCACGAACGAATATTCATGGATTTTGCTTGTTTTATGTTCGTACGCGTTAAAAATGTTTTATCCTTACCAGATACTCGTTTAAAATGAGTATACGGCTCAGCCCTAATTTTAAAGTCGCATGTCAAATGATGTGCGTTCTCTGAAAACATACCATTTGTGCAGTTTTATACTGCTAGTCAAAATCCACCCAGTCTTTAACATGCGTGTAAGTGAGAATAACAGCCTGAATTACAACTTACTATGGACTTGGTGCAGAGAGCAGAAGACATGCTTGGATTCTGGATTGCCTGGCCTTTAAATTGTCTGCATAATTGACTGTTTCCAATAAGCATAGCCTAAACTTTGTAACATCTTCTGTCACCAAGATAAAGATTGTTTAAATAATACTAGGAATGCCCCATTCTGATATAGATATCGGAAGTAATTCAATATCGGCCCTAAAACAATGTATTGGACTGCATCAAAATTCTCCGATGTAAGTGGTCTGTTAAAGGAGCATGGGGCAGGATGAAGAAACAAAACTCATTAGCGACGCACTCGGCGCTGTAACTGCAGCCCGGCACGAGAGCGCGCACAAACTCTTCACTAGAAAAAAAAAGTGATGTACGGCCAGAGTGCGGCTCGAACAAGGCACCATGTCGAGCGATGAAGTAACATTGTTACTTTTGTCTAATATTTGTAAAATTCCATGACATTAGCTTTTTAATTTAGCCATGACACTCGTGATGTAAAGCAAGTGCTCCTTCCTATGAAATATTCATAAGCCAGTTTTGTGACTGGCGAGCAAGACGGTAACATGATGCTACTTTATTAGCATAAGGCTTTGTGGCTGCAGGTGATTTCTGATGTTTTTAGACAAATTACAGTTATTATTTTGCACTAAGCTTACTAACAAGCTAATGTTATTGTTTATACATCATGTAAGAACATCCAATTTCAAGTCACTGACATCATTTGTGAAACCAATTTCATTACAGGACAGGCATTACAACAATGTAAATAAGAACATAAATATTAATGTTTAGTTCAAAAAAATGCATCAAATAAAATCATAATATCAAGAAGACCAACAGGGTAATACAGTCATTTTTATCATTACTGTCATTGATTTTCAGGAATTCACATTGGAAGGAGTGATGGAAAACAGTTCGGATGAGGAGTATGTGCCTGTGGCAGGCTATGATGTGTCGTGGGAAAGTCTGAGACCAGGGGGTAAAGGAAAAGGGAAAGGAAAAGGTCGCTCGGAGGGTCGGGGAAGGACACGCTCAAGGGGTGAGGGCAGCAGGTCGAGGTCCAGAGCTCCTTCAAGAAGACCAGGGCGCCGGGGTAGGCAGCGAACATCAGCTTTCAGAGAAGAGGACCGAGACCAGCTTGCACAGCTGAGAGCTGCCAGTATAGCTGAGATGCAGGTTGGTTGTAGCCATATGTGTGTAAAGAAAAAATAAATAAATAAAAAATAGAGGGGTGCCAAAAAACGATAACATCACTCACTGGAGATATGAATCTAGTCATGTAAACATATGTTCTTTAATTTCTAGACAGCTTTACAACACCTGAGCCAGGAGGAGAGAGATTATATTCTCGAGAGAGTGGTGACCCGTCTTCCAGGGGTGATGCTGGATATCCTGGAGTTTCGGCAAGAGACGCCAGGACACCATCTTCCTGATCGAGGGCAGCCTGTGTGGTGCACTTGCCAGAACTGCCGACGCATGCCTACACAGATTGAAAATCTGTGCTGTAGGCAGGTTCCGGAACTCTGTCTAAGCAGAAGTGCTCACCTGGAGCTATACTGCTTGGATGAGGGCACACTGTGTCTAGTGAGGATGACCTGGAATGACATCTTCGTCTTAGAGGACAACCAAGATGTGGGCACAGACAACCGAGAGTTTCGTTTTGCTGCGTATCGTCAGTTTACAGTCTGGCATCATGGGCGTCTGGGAAGAGGAAGTCGGAGACCAATTCCAAGCTGCTGTGTTGTACGTATACGGGAAAAATTCCCTGATCTATTTGGGAATTACACTGGTTACAAAGAAGCACCATTTAGGGCTGCAGACTAAAAATCCAAAACGTTTATCTACAACTACAGTAGTTCCAAAACAGCACAATACCTCAAAATAACTTTAGCTGAAGACAGCATTTTCACCCAAAAATAAACAAACTGTTTGTGCAATATATTTATTTTTATTTATGTACAAAAAAGTTCTGTTATTTGCATTTGTACATAGTTTTTTTTTCTTAATTTCTAATAAATCAGTGTGAATGAAAGAAGTCATTCCTGTCTTTTGATGCTTCATGTAGCTGGGGCCTTTATGGAGAGAGGAGAACAGCAGCATTAGATCATATAGTAAGGCTCCATCCAATCTGGTTAGTAAGGCTCCATCCAATCTGGTAACTGTCATTTCAACTTGACCTTGGCACAACAGAAAAGTGATGTGTTGTGCAGGTACTGTGAACATTACAAATAGTTCCAGACTTATAAATGAATTACTGGTGTTCTTCTGTATATTCTTACTTTGTGACTCATAATAGTCTTCTTTTTTTCTTATGTAACACAGTTTGGGTAGATGTTTTTTCCTTTTATATGCAGGCAGCAGAGGGACGATGTCGCCATCTGCTGCCTGCATATAAATGGAAGCGACGTCTCGAACAGCTGGCGACTCTGGCGAAGGTGTAAGTGATCCGACTGAAACATGAAAGGTAAAAATACATCTACCCAAACTATGTTAAATAGGAAAAAAGAAGACAATTACTGGTTTATTATAATTGGTGATACATCCAAAACTGCACAAAGGTGCAGCGGATGGCTTGTGAGACTGAATATTTTATGCTGAGTTTTATTTATTTATTTTAACCAGTACAACAATAAACATAATTAGAATTGAGCTGACAAGAAATGTGGGATTTTGTTGAATGACACACCTGTCCTCTGCGAATTTGTGTCTGTACCAGTTCCGCCGTGGGGGTTGCCACAACTCCAGCTAAATTCCCAAGATTTCTTGGGTCATCGGGGTTGCGTTTTACCTTTCTTGGGAGCGGCCCTCCATCCATACGTTTTCTGAGGATGCAACGCTGAAGTTCAGGGATGTAGCTGTAGTTTTTGGCAATCTTGACCACTTGTACGCGGTAATTTTGTGACTTTTTGCTGTAGAGTCGCTTGTATCTAAAAGACAAGCATTACAGGATTTACTGAAGGTCCACCTTTCTACATTTTCATTCAACGACACAAATATTTTACAGTAACAAATCCAACAACTTATTTTGAAGTACAGATCATATTCAGTTGCCTTGAAGATAAACAAAACTATTAGACTTACGACTTCTCATTTTTCTGGGTTATATAATCTGGTCGGTGGTTGTGGTGGTTGTAATCCAACGCGGCAAGAAGGCACCTGGCTTTGTAGACAGGAGGAGAGAAGGCAAACCTGTTTTACATGGAGAGGGGGGACAAGATTTATAAAAATTGAACCACATAATTTTCAAGGGACTAATATTGCTTGGACATAGCACATGCTAGATATTTCTATTTGTCATTCATAACCTGGAAAATGTAATAATTTCAGTTAGTAATTATAACAATTAATGTACAAATCACTTCTAAATAAAATTACCTTTTTCCAGCATACATGAGAATGCAGTTCTGGAAACTCTCCAGTTCTGAAGTTGACCTGTAAAAAAACAAAAGCTACAACTTTATAGATTATTAGGAATCACACCTTTGATTGCCTTTTCACCCACAATTGTCATTTCTATATGTAAACTGTCAGCTTTGATATTGACACTTAAGCTTTTTTGCTTATGAAAATGTTATTAATATACCTAAAGGTCAGATACTTGGTGACATCCTTCAACCAGCGTCTGTTGAACATGATTCGTTGAAGAGCCTCGTGTGGTGGTGATCCTGGCACCATGAGCTCTTTATCACTGGTCATTGCATCAAGTGGTCCATGGTCACATTTGCCACGGGTCCATTCATGCTTCCCTGTGACATGGTGAAGCACACCCACCCACATGTCCTAACAGAAAAAATAAGTTTTATTTGAAAACTTTGAATTTTTTTTACCAACTTTCACATCGCCATTAAAATACGTAAATTTCACGCACTTTCTATATTGGGCCAGAATTTGGTGACTTTTTGGATATGCTAAGACCCCCTAAAGGCCCTTCAAAGACGCGGAAGAAAAAGAAAAATAAATAAATAAAAATAACAATAATAAACGGAGCAGATACAATAGGCCTTCGCAGCTTCGCTGCTCGGGCCTAATTATGTCAAAGTGCATTGTTGTCTTGTTGTCCAAAAGATGTCACAATACTTACATTAAACATATCACAATGTTGTGCTTTCTGGCAAATGTACCAAAATTGGTTGATGTCCTTCAGCCACACAAGTAGGATGGAATTTCCCTTTAGAATCCCAGCCTGTGAACAAGGATACAACAATTCCATCTTTTAGTTCTTTTTAAAACACAGAAAGGTTTGCAGCCGCAGACGAAACGTTTCAGGTAAATCAAACCTTTCTGTGTTTTAAAAAGAACTAAAAAATGGAATTAGAATTTCAACACAGCAAGAACACACCAAAGATGATAAAACAACAACAATAACAACAATAAAGTCTCATTATTATTATTGGTATTCACAAATATTTGAAACAATAACATCCATTGTTATTAATCCTACCATATGAAGTTTCTTGGTCAGATTTTTGGCTGCATGCCAGACATCCAAGGAATGTATTATAGCTTTCTCTTTGTATCTTCCTTTTCTTGGATCTGCAATAAATAAGCACTTAGTAAGGTTTAATCACAGTATTCTTCAATTATATTATTAAAATGTTGCCTTTTGTTCATTTATGAACAGTGGCATGCTCCATAATGTGGAACATAAAGTGTTGCAATCCTTATAAAGACATATTTACCCAACAGTGCAGAAATCTGCATGTGCGCATCTGTGACAATCTCAGTGATGTTCAGGTCCGCCAAAAGGTTGTCAAACGTTTGAATGAAGGCATGCTTCTCCATTATCACACTGTTGCGATTGGTTTGTCGTTTGTCAACAGTGACAACACTTATTATGTCCTTGGAGTCGTTCTCCATGGTCGTATAAGTGCAGAACTGGGCAGTGTGGCCTGTTACAATTTAAAAATTATTTTAGGTTGCATAAAACCTGTCAACAAAAATAAACGATTAGAAAATAATTAATATTACCTGGAGAGTCCATCCTTCCATCAGCTGAAACAGAGAAATGCAAGTATATGACATTCGAACCTGAACTCTTGGCTAGTAGATATTATAGATGCATTAAATTTAGAACGTTAGATATACATCAAATCATAAAATATCTTCTAAAATATATGAAGTAATAATTTGCCCACAACAGCAATTTAACTAATTGCTAACTTTTTTCACTTGCAAGTTAGTCCAAATTGTTTATGCAAAGTATTCTCTGCTGCTGTTTGATGTAGTGCATTTCCATACTCACCAAGTGCAACAACACTTTCCTTTGCACGCAGGCAGTCAATGATGATCGCTCTCTTCTTCTCCCAAAAATCTTTATAATAGAGTCTACCAAGTAATGGTTCTGTATAAGTCTGAATGTTTTTGGAGACACAAAGCCAATATTCATAAACCTAAAGAAGAGGGCAAGCTTTCAGAAGTTATTGCCAGAGAGGAGTATGTTGGTGGCAACCATGAAGTCCCCTCCTTGCATCGCGTACTTCAGGACAGGCTGGCTGTTCCACTTCCGCAGCATATGCCCATTAATGCAAAACTAGAAAAGACAAGAACGTGTTGATTTGTATCAGGATATCTACAATCTGATATGATGTCTATATTAGCAGCAGCTCAATGTGTAGGCATTTTGTGTTCTAACCAAATTCATAATTTGAGGCTTACCTGTCAAGGAAATTCTGATCTCCAGCTCCAAATCAAATATATTTATAGGCTACATCCTAAATATTTGTGATCCTCTGTAAAATAGGTGCCTAACTTTATGTCATTCTAAGAGCAACCTGACCAGTGTAAAACTCTGTGTTTTGTATATATTTTCAGGTTAATAACCAAAATGACATCTAAAGTCAACCCACCCACTCGATAATGGTAGCACTTCCCCTTCGGTTGAGTTTGACATGAAATGGTGGAGTGGCATCACATTCTGTACCAATCATCTTGTCCCTATAAAAACATTTCTGGATGGGCAGCTGGAGGAAATTGACCAGTCTTGCCATGCTGCTGGTAAAAGCGATGCATGCTGGCTGGTTGACTAGGTCTTCTTCTATGGAGACCTTCTCTAAACTGGGGAAGGAGGGTACATCATTGTCCGCCTCCTCATATTGCTCTGGGTTGTCAGCTTCTTCGTCTGTTTCATCATCTCGTTGAAGAATGTCAATGACACTTTCGTCCAGCCCAACAATGGGTAGAGCATCAACTGCACGCTGTAAACCACCAGCAGCTCTGTGTGACAGGAAACAAACATGTGAACTGTCTTTAGGATACAAAAATGTAAGTCATCATCATCTTAATTCATTTATACATGTAAAATGCACGTCCCGCCTCCACCACCCACCCTACCAACAAAGCTTAAGGAAACAGATCATAGGATCTACTACAAAGAAATACATACTGTATTAGAGCTGAAACAACTAATCGATTTAATCAATTATCGATTATTAAAATAGTTAACAACTTTTTTAGTCATAGATTAGTTGTTTAATAATCATATTTTACCGCATAAAGTCTATTTTTTACCACAATCTGACATCGGTTACAATCTGTTAAATTTGCCGCCAGTGTGTGGCAGTAATGAGCCACTGATCTACCAGTGGAGCCGTAGAAGAAGAAATGAGCCAATAAGTGCCCTCGGTTTTCATGACGTATCACGTTACTGACGCTCATCTTGCTGTGAGAGATGGCGGATCAACAAGAAATACGGAAGAAAAATAGAAGCGACAAAACAAGAGAAACCCCGGACAAAAACCTCACGAGTATGGGAGCACTTCACTAGATGCCTTGAAAAAACCGGTGACCTGCAAAATATGCAAAAACCATGGCACGACGGAAGCACGATGTCCCTAAGTGAACATATGAGACGAAAACGTGGGGGCTGATGCAGCAGAGGAATGTCCGGTAAGTAACAGAAAATAAACAAGCTAACGCAGATCACATTTGGGACTTAGTGTTAGCTGAGTTCGTTATAGTGGATGTTAAACATGTTTTTTTTTTGCCGCGTCAGTTTACGGTGTTCTACTTCTGATTGACTAGATGCAATCGTGAATCTCCTCCGTGTTGTGTATCATGCGCTTGCCAAATTCAGCACGTCTGTTTATAAGAATGTTCTCGTTAAGAGAAAAACGGCACAAACCCATAACTATGTTCCTCATTCAAAAAAGGACAACTCCGCGGTGAAAAATATACAGACGAGCTGTGTCCAGGTGAATATAACGCGGCATAGTTGTACGCTTTCAATTTTTAAATACAGGAGAAATTCAGAAAGTCCTTTTTTTAACTATTAAAAGGCTGTTTTACTATCTAACGCCGTAAAACGCCTCACAACACATTTTTGTCAAATTAAATTATCACTGTATATTGTTAATTAATTCAAATAATGTAATATTGATTTAGTGTTGTAGTGTGTGTGCTGCTTTATTTTATATGTGTACTTAATTCAGTTTATTTGTGTTTCTTATGCAGAAAAAAACAAGCAACGATGGACAACTACATGGGGAACAAGACACTCACCCCCAGCAATGCATACCACTTACAAACTCTATTCCAGATTCTACATTATTTTTTATGGAACCTCTTATATTTTGATGCCAAAAAATTATTCTGGACTGATATTTTGCACTGTTTAGCTCATTTTACACCGCTGACTGTGTTCATGTGCAATAAAATAGATTGCAGTCAACTGCACAATTCTCTTATATTTTTCTTTTTCTTAACTGAAATGTATTCATCTTTTGTATAGGTTAAATAGCTAAACAATAACAAACCGATTAATCGAAAAAATAATCGAAGATTAATCGATTATGAAAATAATCGTTAGTTGCAGCCCTATACTGTATACAGATCGGTGGCACATAATCACTGTCCATAGGATTTGAACCATTTTCATCCAGTTCTATTCTGTTATGAAAACAATAAATAAAAGTAGAATTAATATATTGTTATAAGACTTTGGAGTTTAAAAAAAGAGTGTAAAGAAGCAATTGCAACTCACACACTGTTGAGTAAGTTATTTGCTTGGTCCTCATCAATTTTGACTGCATCCGTAGCTAGATCCATGGATTTGAAACTACAGACAACAAAATAATATTTGTTGTACGTAAAGATAAATACTGGAACTCACCTGAAATGGTACTGATTCTAAAGAGATAAATGTGGAGCCTAATACATCTGTCATTAATTCTTTCTGCAAATAACAACAATCTGCTGTGAATTGACACTTCACAAAATAAATAAATATATATAATGACCAATATTTGCTTATCTATTGTGTTTTTATCTTTTTTGCACATAGTACAGCAGTAATTTCCTGAATATATGGCAAGACTTCTCATGAACAAATTTACCTTTCTTCAAAAGGATCCAATCCTTGGTCATCAGCTAAGGCCTCAACACCAGCCATTAGAAAATCTTCCCTGTAAAGATAATGTCAGAAGTGTTTGGTGGTGTGATGTTAGTTCTGAACCAGTGTGGATATGCAAGGTGTAATTTAATGTATGAAATATCATAGCACAAAAACGTGAATATTTGTTTTACACAAAAGATACTAACCCCTCAGACACAGGTTCAACTGGAGATAATCGATGCGACATTTTAGCTGCTGTTCTCATACTGGGTGTTGTTGGTCTTTCTTCTGTTAGACCAAGCACGGGTACGGAGAAGATGGAGTTAAACACCTTTTGAGTTGGTAGAATGAGGAGACAAATGAGTCCAGTCACTGTTTCACCGCTCGAGAGGGGGAGAGCCTTTGCAACACACAGCAGGTCCCGCGACCTGCTCTCATCAGTTGCTTCGGACAGACTCTCGCCGTTCTGCTGAAAACGGCTGATTTTTATTGAAGATTACAGGAATGTTACATACGTAGTTTACCATACACACACGTAATTCTGCCATCTGCACCTGCAGACGCACGTCAGCTAATAGCCTTGTTAATGAAAGACCAATTCATCCCAAGGACATGCAACCTTGAGATGATCAGGACACATCCTGCAACATCCTTTGCTAACAAAGACAGTTGTTCTTGTATTGAGGAAATGAAGGAAGGAACACTTTCACTCCCTTATGCAGCTGTTCAGCTTGAGCAGAAAAGGCACAGAGAGGTTTTCGATATTATAACAAGATTCCAAGAAAAGGCATATAATAATGTATTCATGATAATATATAAGGGGCATAAGTGAGAGATACATATTTGTTCATATAAAAGAGCTTATACTAATATAAAAGAGCTCATATGAGAATATATTTTCAATCCCCCTTTTGAACTCTTTTAAGAGTTCAACAAAGATGTAGGAAATCAAAACAACAACACCAAATTTCATCAAAAAGAATCTAATAAGCAAAGTTTTAAAATACCAATACAAACAATCAATCAGATTACATTTCCTCATATTTCTAGCAGTAAACTAATACAAAAACATGATCATATTTTTGACTGAACATGTTACAACATGAACGGATCGCATGCACACCCGTATGAGGGCGAAAAACCCTAATTATCGTACGTCAAATAGGGAAAATTCCCCCATGTCCCCTCATTTTGAGGCGAACGCCTTTTGGCACAGAGTGGGCATGCCTAGGACATCAATGATCAAAAAATAAAACAAAACAATCAAAAAAAAAAAAACTCATAGAAATGAACAGGTGAAGTGATCGTTACATAAATCACTGAACATCCTCACACTCTAACAACATCTTCTTCATCATGAGAGTCATCACTATCATCAGAGGGTTCCCCTCCCAAATAGATGTTAGGATTGGCTAGTAACAAGGGCATCTGGATAATTGGGTCAGCAGGTGGAGGAGAGATGGCAATGGTAATCAATCTCTGGACTAATTGCCTAAGACAGGGGATACAGCAACAACCGCAAGTAACAAGAATGGCAGCGAAGACAGACATGGACACCAAGACGGAGGAAACGAGAGATTTGTATTTACCAAATACATCAAGCCAAGAGTCCCACATGGAGGTGTCTACACCAGAGTGGGATTTCATTTTTTCTGTCAAAGAGCGGAGGCCGTCTAAGGCCTTAGTTAAGCTACCGTCCGAGGCCGTATTGTTGGGGATGTAGACACAGCAATCCTGAGAAAACATGGAACACACGCCCCCTTTTTCAGCTAACAGCATGTCTACAGCAATTCTATTTTGGAAAGCCATCAATGAGGTAGCCGATAGTTGTTGGTGAACTGCCTCAAGTGCAGTACGAGTATAGTTACTTAAGAGTTGAACATTGAAATGGATGTAGTTAATGCGGTCGACATTTTTATTGGGAGTTATCCAGACAAAAATAGATTCCCATCCGGCGGCTATTTGGTCAACTAATTTGTATTCGTCTGGAACGCCTCTGGGGACGCCAATTGCATCTATATAAGTGGGATTGTGAAATGCAGGCAAAGCTTGTAAAGAGCGCTTTCGTCGGGTGCTAGAGTAAGAGCTGGAAATAGGGGTATCATGAAGGGTTACGGGAGTAACAGTGACAGGTAACAGTAAAGTAATAAGGGCACACAAACCTGAAGATTCCCTGGGAAAACCATTATAGAGCTGAGGAGCACCACACCACCACCAGAGATTGGCACGCTTTTTGGGTTTGAATTGTGAAGAAACTGACACGGTTGTATTAACGCACCAATTAGTGGTGACATTTCCCAGAAAAGGATCGCCTCGTCCAATTAGATGAATACAACTGAAGTTATTAGGGGCCACAATATTCGAAAAGAAAGGCGTACCAATGTCATCACCTGGTTATTGATTTGGAAAGATTTGTCCAAACTTAGTACAATTAGAATTTAGGGAAGTCCCGTTCATCAAATGAAGGAAACATTCTGGAGGGATCGGAGGTGGCACAATACGGAGAGTAGG